ACATGAGAACATGGATAGGGTCTGTTTCTGTATTCCTATAAAGACAAGAGGTGATCCTGATATATGGATGTAATCTCACAGGAAGAGATGGATGAAATAGGAGGAGAATGAAGGAGAGACTCTGTATAATGTGTGACAGTAGTTCAAGGTGATAAAAATGAATGGATCGAGATTCACAGATTTCTGACACAAAAATCAGTATTTTTACTGTATTATAAGATACTGGAGAGCTAAGAGAATAAGAAATGCTTTCAAAGACAAGAAAGTGTCTTCATGAATTTCACTTAGAATTTATTAGTGAACAGTGGAGCAAAGATCTGTATGCTACATAGACATTCATATCTGAGTTTCAAATGATAATCTAAGGCATTAGAAGATGTGAGGTTTCCTTGAAATTTATGTAAAATTATGATAATAAAGCTCATGCAAATTTTTCAAGAACATTAATAGACAATATAACATAGAACAATTTACAAATAAACCAAACAACAATTATCCTGGAAATGCAGACAGAAGAAGAGAGACATATTAGTCTATTCCGTATCTCAGTAGAAATCCATAGAACTTTCTAGGAAGGGAGGGGAGATAAAACATGTTAAACAGAACTTGAGAAAAATTATTAATGACTGTAATGATTACAGACATATAGAATTTGGTATTATAATTACCATGGAATCTGTCAGATCCATTGCTGTAATATCTATCTAGCTATAGCTATAGATAGATAGATAGATAGATAGATAGATAGATAGATAGATAGATAGATAGATTTCCTAGATATATGTTCATTTTTATTTTGAATTGTTAGGATACTGGAGATGAAGAAATGATAATGAACAACCAAAGTATCATCTCTGAGTTCCTTCTCCAGGGCCTGGCCATTCCCCCAGAACACCGGGACCTGTTCTATGTCCTGTTCCTGGCCATGTACCTCATCACTGTCCTGGGGAACCTCATCATCATCATCCTCATCCTACTGGACTCCCATCTCCACACACCCATGTACTTGTTTCTCAGCAACTTGTCCTTCTCTGACCTCAGTTTTTCCACAGTCACAATGCCCAAATTGCTCCAGAACATGCAGAGCCAGGATCAATCCATTTCCTATGCAGCCTGTGTGACACAAATATACTTTTTACTGGTTTTTGCAGCCATGGAGAGTTTCCTTCTAGTGATCATGGCCTATGACCGCTATGTAGCCATCTGTTTCCCCCTTCATTACACCAACATCATGAACCCCAAAATCTGTATGTGTCTGGCGGGGCTATGTTGGGTACTTTCTATGCTGTATTCCATGATGCACACTCTACTCTTGGGTAGGTTGTCATTCTGTGAGAACAATGTGATCCCTCAGTTTTTCTGTGAATTGTCTTCCCTTCTCAAGTTGGCTTGTTCTGACATTTATATTAATGAATTAATAATATTTATTATAGGAGGGCTAAGTACCGTTGGCCCATTCTTACTCATCATTGTGTCCTATATACAAATTGTCTACTCCATCCTGAAGGTTTCCTCTACTCGGGTTCTCCACAAGGTCTTCTCCACATGTGGCTCCCACCTGTCTGTGGTCTCACTGTTCTATGGAACAATTTTTGGTCTCTACCTTTGTCCATCAACTAATAACTCTACTGTGAAAGAGACTGCCATGGCCATGATGTACGCACTGGTGACTCCCATGTTGAACCCCTTCATCTACAGCCTGAGGAACAGAGATATAAAAGAGGCACTGATAAGAGTCCTTTGCAAGAAGAAAATGTCTTTGTAATGGCAACACTGGGACTTTCACTTAAATTTATCTGGTAAATATATTGATGTTAATATTGCAATATGTATCTCTGAAATGAGACACATAGTTACATACTACTTAATATTTCCATTGCAAACAGGAGTATATCAATTTAGTTTGGTTAGTATGGGACCTTAGGGACTAAGTGATGCCTTCCAGTGCCTAGCCTGTGTGATTCTAGAAAATCATTAGGGAAGAGCCACAGTTAGATCAGATCTGCAATCGTCACATTCTTGTTATCCCAATGTTTTGTGATTTTATGTGAAATTCAGTGTTGGCTGCAGTATACGTTTTAAATATGAATAAATGATATATCATAATCCTATGTTGATGCTCAGTAATCGTTTTCTGTTTATTTTTCTCTCATACAGAACACACTTCCTTCTACTCTCCTAGTCCCTCTCCCAAGTCACCTCTCTCCCAGATCCACTTCCTCTCCATTTGCTTTCAGAAACTGGCAGGCCTCCCAGGGATATCAACTGAACACAGTGTAACAAGATGCAAAAAAACAAGTGATAAACCCTCATATCAAATCTGCATGAGGTGACCCAGTAGGAGGCAAAGGGTCCCAAGAGCAGGCAAAAGTGTCAGAGACACCCCAGCCACTAGTGTTAGGAATCGCACAAAACCCCCAAGCTAAACAACCACAGTATGCTTTCAGACTTACTATTATAAACACATGCTGGCTCCTCGATTGCCACTTCAATCTCTGTGAACCCATATGAGCCCTACTTAGTGGATTTTATGGGTCAAGTTGTCCTGGTGTCTTTGACCCTCTCTTTCCGCAGTTCTTCCTCCCAATCATACATGGTACCCCAACTTCCACCTAATGTTTGTATATGTAACTCTGCATCTGTTCCCATCAGCTGCCAGAGGAAGCTTCTCAAATGACTAAGATAGACACCAGTCTATTGCTATAGCAGAATATATTTAGGAATAATTTCATTGCCTTTCTTTTTGGTAGGTTGTGTTTGGTTGCACCCTATGTCTCTGAGTCATCCAGATTCCAGTTTCTGAACATGCATGGGCTCACTCTCTTGGCTTGAACCTAAAGATAGGTCAGTCATTGATTAGTCACTCCCACAAGCTCTGAGCCACCATTGCCCCAGCACATCTTGCAGCCAGGAGTTTTCTGGGTCACAAGTATTGTGGATAGCTTGGTGTCCCTGTTCCACCATTGGGAGCCTGTCCTAGTTAAGGATGGTGGCTGGTTCAATACTCCATTATGTGAATATATCACATTTTTTAGACAATTCTTCATTTGAGGAACATCTATGTTGTTTCCAGTTTCTGGTTATTGCGAATAAAACCACTATTAACATAGTTGAGCAAGTGTCATTGTGGTATGGTGGTGCATCAACTCTTCCCATTTTCCCCTCTCCTCTCCCAAATTCATGACCTCTTCTTTATTTTTGTTGTATGTATACCTATGTAAGTATATACACACATTTATAGAGTCTGCTGAGTCCATTTAGAGTTGCTCATATTGTATGTGTGTAGGGCTGAACACTGTGTAGTAGGTAATCAACCTATCAGATGCTCATCTCTGTTCAAGAATGATCCCCCCCCTCTCAGCAGTCATTAATTGCCTGTAGATTTGGATCTGTGGGTAGAACCTTATGAAATTCCCACATTTGTGCTAGCATGTCAGCTGGTGTTGTCATTTTGATGGTCTTATTTAGGCAGCCATGTGGTGGTATATTATTTATGATGTATTAAAGTTTGCCTGAGGATTCAGAAAGTAAAGTCAGCCACAAGCCATAGAAACCAGGCACAGTCCTTCAGTACCAGCAGTCAGAATATAGGAGGCAATGGTACATCTTTATTCCTAGGTCTCAGGATTAATAGGTAGACAGATCTCTGTGAGACCAAGACCACCTGGATTTACACAAGATTGTTCCAGTCTTTTTTTCTAAATATTTAATCCATTTTATTTTATTATGTTCAACATTCAACTTTATTTCTTAGAGTTTTTTTTCTTTCAGTCTTAAACAGGAACTGCTCACGCAAAGATGATCTCAACACCTGGGGTCACATGTCTTTAATCCCAGCACTAGAGGGGTATGAGTAATAGGAGATGTATTGAGTATCCGGCATTGTCCTGCCACATTGAGAATAGGAATACCCCATCCCTGTTAGAGGTAAGAGCTGTCTGGCAGTTTGGCTGCTTTGCTTCCTTGATCTTCAGCTTGAACCCAAATATCTGTCTCTGGGTCCTTTATTATTTTGTGTTACACAGCCACATTGTTAAGATTTCATAGGTGTCATATGTGGTAAACATTATTTTTGTGGCAGATATCTTGGTCATCTAACTCTTCCACAATCAACTTGAATCTGAGGTATAGGAATTGTGTTATAGATGTATCTGTATATTTTGGGTGCACCATAGTCAGTTGTTCTCTGCACTGTGGCCAGTTATGGATTTCTTTTATGGACATGTGAAATATTAATGTTTTATTACTAATGAACTATGAGTCAAAGTAGGTAAAAGTTTTTTGCTTTGTTTCAGAAGAGAGGAAACACCAACAATAGTCACAGATTAACAAAATAAGTGATACTGGTGGTCCTTTGCAAAGCTGCCTCTCTTCTGATATTCAAAATTCATCAGGTCCTATTACTGATACTTCTTAGGCATATGTGTCCTGTATGTTTCTCTACAGTCATTATTGCCAGTTATGGATTTCTATAATAGTCTTTGTCTG